CTAGGCGCCACACAGGTCTGTAACTTGCCACTTTGATGTTACTCTCTGGATAGTTACAGACTTGTGCAACGCCTAGCATGCAGGCGCCACACTATACAGTGCAACGCCTAGCACTCGGGCGTTGCACTGTATAGTGTGGTGCCTGCATGCTAGCCACCATACCTACAATGAGTGAAACATAATGGTCAGTAAAGACAATAAGAACAAATGGAAGAACATGTGCAACAAGAACATATGAAACATTATAGTTAGTGAGCAACATACGGAAATGGTCCATCGAGGTATCCAAACATTCCTCTATAACGACCTTGTCCCTGTCCATCACCACGGCCAAGACCATCACCACGGCCAAGACCACCACCACGAGCTCTACCACCACCACGGCCTACACCACCACGGCCTCTTGTAAGTCCTAGTTGCCGACCTCTTTGTTGCCTAGATCCTCTTTGGCTAACACTTGGTTGGCTTGGCACTTGTTGGCTACCACTTGGTTGCCTTGGCACTTGTTGGCTACCACTTGGTTGGCTTGGCACTTGTTGGCTACCACTTGGTTGGCTTCCTTCTGTAGCTCCTTGTTGGCTTGTGCTTGCATCATTTTTCTTGGACCTTTTCCTTGGTTTCGTACATTTTCTTTTGTTGTGGCCATGACCTTTGCACTCCCCACAACGGGAGCTCTCACGAGGCTCTTGGAATTGACTGTTGCCCGCTTCACGGCGGCCACCATGGCCCCATCTGTCCATGTCGCCTCTAAGACGCTTTGTCTTACGTCTACCCCGTTTAACAACCTTCAACTCCGGATCCGGCCATAGTTGAACACCATGGTACTCCGGCCATTGTGATTGGTCAAGATGTGGGTGAAAGCGGGGAGCCCCATGTTTTTTTGACCGTCATGATTGAGAACTCCGACTCCCTCACGGTGCGTGGGTGATTGATGTCCACATTCCTAACGCGATCGGCTGTATACAAGTGTGAGCATGGAAGATGAAGCAACAATGGCCTCTCGCAAGAGCAATCACATTGTGTTAACGACACCTTGAAAGCCCGACCTCCATGTTGGCGGCCCTCGTTTGTGGTTCCTCCTGGCTCTTTCACTTCATACTTCCACTCTTCGTTGACATATAATATAGCTTCTTCTGAGTCCGCCTTCCGTGATTGAAATACCAACCATTCATCAATCTTGGGTGGGAACTTGTACTTGTACTTGCGCGGGTTCTCACCCGCTATCTATGCATCCGTTTCCATCGAGTACTTTACAAAGTATGCATTCATCTTGTCAAATGTGTACTGAATTATTGTCGTCACGGGTAATCCACGTGCACTTTTGAGCACCCTATTGAAGCATTCGACCATATTGCTTGTCATTTGACAGTATCTCCGGCCATCTTCATCAAAAGCACATGCCCACTTGTTCCGGTATTGAATGTGCCTATTGAGAAGGTCTTGACCCCTGGGATCAAGTTTTTTGTGTGCAAGCAATTTGTTGTACAAAGTGGTGAAGCGCTTGTCGGAGAAAGCGAGACAACAATCTTGAAGATCATCGGCCAACTCCTTAAGGCCACATGCCCTATAGAAGTTCGAACAAAAGTGCCTCATGCACCATCGATGATGCAACGGAGCATGCCCGGGAATGTCAATCTCCACCGCGTTAAGAATACCTTGATTCCGATCCGATATGACACAAATTTCCCTCTGAGCGGATAACACTTTCATCCTCAAAAGACGCAAAAACCACTCCCAGTTGTCATTGTTCTCCACCTCAACCAAAGCAAATGCCAATGGCAACACCCGATTACTGGCATCACTTGCTATCGCAACCAACAAGGTGCCCTTGTATTGTCCGGTCAAGAACGTGCCATCAATGGCGATGGCCGGCCTACAGTGTTCGAAAGCCCTCACGCATTGCTCGAATGCCCAAAATGCATGGCCAAATACTCAGACTTTCCTTCCTTCATGAACCGTTGTTTGGTGCCCATGAGGCTCGATCACATGAACCATGCCCGGGTTTGTCGCGGCCATGGCTAACAACAACCTAGGGATTCGGTTGTATGCTTCCTCCCAAGTACCATACAACATTTTAAATGCGGCTTGCTTCGCCTTCCATGCCTTGCCGTACTTCACCTTGTAATGAAAGATGGCTTTCACAAGGTCAATGACATGTTGGACGCTCATTGTTGGAAGTGTGGATATTGAGTTGGAGAGCCTGTAAGCGATGAACTCGGATGTGAGTTGTTTGTGGTCTTGGGACACAATCTTGCCATCCACCCTTTTGCCTTGGCACATGTGAGTTGGCACACAACTCACTACGTGCCAAGTGGGACCTCCTTTCCATGGTCTTGCACGCACAATCCACGGACATATTTCATCTTCACATGCACATGCAACCGTGTAGCGCACATTGACGTCCGAGTGCACCACCTTGTGTGGACGATAATGCGTAATTGAGTAGTTGTCGGGCCACATATTCAATTCCAAGAAGGTTTCGAACTTAGACCCTTTTGCAATTCGGTTCTTGTCATCTCCCAAATCACGGTGAGAGCTTGGCCTAACCCCAACAGATATACATTGGCCACCATCTACCACCGCGAGACTAACATCCTTGAACAATGTAGTCCGATGATCACGACCGAATACCTTCTAGAAAGTTTCGGCCTCCTTCACCGTGAACTCCTCCGCATCAACTTGTCCGTCGGGACCATCGTCATCCGAGTCTGATGCATATGCACGGGAAAAAGGGATGGAATGGTCCATTGTCTCTTGCAAATGATATTGGTCGAGATCACCCACATTGTTGTCATGGAGATCAACTTCATTGTCATTGTCCGCATACTCATCATTCTCCTCTTGCAAAGCTTCATCTTGGTTGCTTGTGAACGGGCTCAATGTTGGCCTCACTTCTTGGGTCAAAAGAGGTTCAACAATTTCATCTTGCTTCAAGGGTGGGGGGCTACTAGCAACCAAAGGGGAGGGGCTCCGGTTCAAGTCCAAATGCAACCTTGAATCAACCTTCTTCATTGCAAATAACTCATGAGCCTTGTCTAGTGATTTGGCCACTGTCTCCTTGTATGCAACCCAACGTTGCTCCAAGTTGACACGCATTGTCTTCCAACGGATGTGCATTCTAAAACCAACATTATGCCTTCCTTCCAACTCAACGATATCACTAGGATCCATCCAATTCAAATCTTTCCTAACTTGTTGCAAGAGCTCCGCATAGCTAGGACTACTATCAAAAACCATGTCAATCTCATCCGGGTCCGGTTCAATATTGCCTTTCAAGAAGGCGTCTTTGTCCCCATGATGAACAAACACACATGTTCTTTCCATCCCTATAAGCATTCAAAGAACACAAGGTAACATTGCTTCCATGAGTACTAATCCAAGGATACAAACCCTAATACATATATGAAACAACAACCCTAACCCTAACCATAACCCTAACCAAAACCATAACCCTAGCCCTAAACCTAACCCTAGCACCAACATAAGAACACCCATAAGAATAACCCTAACATACTAACATAGCCTAATCATAGGAAATTGGCAAACAAACATCTCACATATCCCTGCAAATCTCTAGATCCAAACAAAACTAGGGTTTCCCCAAACTAGCAACAAATGAGTAATTTGATAACATTACTTGGATCAAAACAAGGGGATCGGAGAAGATTACCTTGAGGGAGGGTTTGACTTTGAAATCCACGGACAAATTCTTTAGATTTGCAAGATTTGGGAGAGGATTTGAGAGGGGGAGAGAGTGGGAGAGGGGGCAAAGCTCGGGTTGGGAATGAGAGAGTGTGTGGTGTGGGGGGAGTGGGGGAGGGGGGCCCAGCCGGATAAGTCACATTGCAGCGCCCAAGCGCTAGGCGCTGCATTTTAAATGTGTGGCGCCTAAGCTCTAGGCGATGCACATTATGTGGCGCCTAACACCGAGGCGTTGCACAACTGGGTGCGGGGCCAAGGCTGCCACGGTGGACTGCGTGCAACGCCCGCTAGCTAGGCGCTGCACCGTAGGGTGTGGCGCCGACGTCGCGGACGCTACACAAAAGGGTCAGGGGTGTGAAATAGTTTCACAACCAGTTTATTATGTGAATTGATTTCGTACACAGGTCAAAATTGTCAAATTTGCCTGTAACCTAGGGCCAGGGAACTCCCATGTCCAACAGCCACGGCAACGGGGAGATTGCATAATCCTCTTGAGTTTAATGAAACAATAAGAAAGAATTCTCTCCATTGTCAATCCTCTCGAGTTGCAAACTTGGTACAGATTGTAACAGGTTTTTCAATTCGGTTTGCTATTATTGCCTATTGTGAACATAAATTACAGCCAAAACATGTTTTACCTTTACAGCACTGTCGATACCATGTCAATGTGTCATCAAGATTGGTGTCGTCTTCATCTTATCAGTGTTTGTAGCGAGTCATCTTGCTTCTCGGCAGGCAAAATCGTGCTTAATTCTGAGGTGTAAGGTGTTTCAGCCGTCAGCATCAAATATATTACATCTTGACACTGTCCAGTGTTGGTAATAGCATGTGTGGACGACTTCATAAATTTAGCTCCTGCGTCTGCGTGCGTGGCATCCTCATGATTCGTTTGCAGTCTACCACCAAGCTCAGTAACAACTCAGATCAAACCCTGTCCTGCTATGCCAAGCGAACAGATGGCTTTGGGTCACGACGGCCCCCCTCCGAAGATATTCCAGCGAGATTTGCCGTTCTTCCTGCTCGCAGTGACCTTTTTGTTTGATTCCTGGTGCTCCGCTGCTTCTGGTTCCTCGGCTTCCTGAACACCTTCAAGGACAGAGACCACCGAGTCCATGGTCGGCCTCTTTTTGGGGTCCAAGCAAACGCACTCGAGGGCAAGGGCAGCGATTTTCTGCACCGCACCGAATGAGTAAATACCTCCTAGCTTGGCATCTATGATACAACGTATCTTGTGCTTATGTTTGAGATATGGTCTGGCCCAGTCCACAAGGTGTTGCTCCTCTGCTGGTCGGTTCGGGTCAAGGGCACGGCGACCTGACAACATCTCCAGAAGCAATACTCCAAAGCCATAGATGTCACACTTCTGTGTAAGTCGGCCTGCAAGTGTAAAGTTGTTAAATACTCCCTCCGTCCCAAAACAAGTGTTGTGGCTTTAGTTCAAATTTGTTCAAACCTGAACTAAAGCCACGACACTTATTTTGGGATGGAGTGAGTATATAAGCTTATCACACCCTGAATATGAGCTCTGGATGAAGGTGATAAGAAACAGAAAGGCACCATTACAACATCTTCGCACCAACGTAAATAATATTTGTCAATCGATGGATTAATAGTAGAAATAATAAAATCCTTCAAAATAAAAACAAACCTATTTACAGTTTTACACTTTCTCTAAATTAAGGACCACGCACAACTTATTGAACCCATAGTAGATACTACTACTTGTAAAGCAATGAAAGGTAGCCTTGTAGGGCTTTATGTACCATTTAAGCCAAGTACATGGCTATTTGTAAGCATATAAAGAAGTTAGTTGAGATGTTCGTACACAGTACTTTATGGAGATATTTTATGATAGTCAGATTGCTATTTATCTTATAAAGGATCGAACTTCACCTGAAATAACAAAGAAGTTGCAACTCTTTCTTTCTATCAACATCGAGGTGTGAGCTTTGTATTCTCTTGAGAGTGAAAAACAACTTTCAAGATGCCATTGCTCCTTTAAAGACGAGGCCAAATGTTGGGCGCAAGCTGGGGCACAGGGGCTGCGAGTAGTCCTGCCCGCCTCCTGGGATGTCCACTGATCGGAGGCGCTAGGACCCTGTAAATATAACCTCCTAGGAGGCATGTACTCTCTCTCACCTTTTCAATGCAATGAAACGCAAAAATCACTTTGCGTTTTCTCGAAAAAACATTGCTCACATTGATTTTAATATATTGCTGAGATGACAAAGCTAGTTCCTACTACTGAGTTTTGAGATTCCCTCAAGCTTGGTTGGTGTTAATGTTTTGCCATCCAAGAGGCCTTTCTACGCTGAGTGAACAGTCAGCTGTTGAAAGACTCGAGTTTATTGATTCCTTGCATGTTATTATACTACAAAGCACGGACACGGCTGGAAGTGCCGAACTGCCGTTCTGATACGGCGGGATATGCCGGGATACGCGAACTTTGCAGTATCCCCTGAATTTTGATTTTAAAGAAAGAAAAAACACAGGGATACGCCGGGACACGTGCGGGATACGTTTGGGACACGGCCTGGCCCAAAACAGCCTCGGCCCAACCCAGTATAGCTAACCTATTTTGCAGGAACTCCCGCACGCTCTCGTCTCAAGGACGAGGTGCTCCCTCCCAGCCTCCCAGGTCGCACTGGAACGCGCCGCCAGCCTCCTGGGTCGAAGCCGCCGCCGCCGCCGGCAGCGATGCCTGGATTTAACCGGCGACCGCTGGTGCTACCCCCAGCCTCGCAGGTAACCCAGCAGCCTCTCCCCTCTCCTCTTTCCTCAACCTCTTTGTTATGTGGCTGCTAGAAGGAGGGCGCGAGAGGGCCAGCCGGGGCCTTTCTGCCCACGGCCGGGCAAGACTGCGGGCAAGAGGGAAGGGATTTCCTTCTTAATTCTTGCTTGATTAGATTGATACGTCTCCTCTCTTTATATAGAGAGGTTTACTTGACTCCCAAGCAAGGCTTACTTGACCCCTAAGCAAGCGACCCTTATCTCTAATTAACCCTAAGACTAACGGGCTATACCGCCAGCCCAGGCCCATTAGGCCCATTACATACTCTAACACTCTTCCTCTTTTATTCTTCAGATTTGCTTGTGCTGCTAGATGTTGCTTGCTGGCTTGCTGCTTGCTTGTGCTGCCGCTTATGCTGGTGCTGCTGCTGCTCAGGCTTGCATTGTCTTCCAATTATGTCTTCTCTTCTAATCTTCTGTACTGTTTGTGTTTGATGTGTGTTGCAAGATGGATGCAGCTTGCAATGACAACATGACATGGGGGGGTGAGGATCAATCAATCATCACTTGATAAAAGAGACACCAAATGGGGCAATATTCTCTATTATGGTCTCTTATTAATTTTCTGTCCTGATTGTATATTATATGCCATATTTTTATTTTATTTTATATATACTCGCCGTATCCCCGAATGGCTGTTTTTGAAAAATGCTGTATCCCCATATGCATATCCCCGTCTTTCCGTCCCCGTGTCCGTGCTTTTTAGTTATTACAAGGCCGGAATTGTAAAAACTGAAGTATTGTATTGTAGCCTGTTGGTATAAGATACCATGGTTTTAAAATAGCAAAGTATTTTAGAGTATCAATGATGCAGAGGACCTGTTTGGTTTGCACCATGTGTGCATCAACGTGAAAATTGCTGACTAGCCATTAGCTGTTGCAAACACACACGTTCTTGAAGCTAGCTAACAACTAGCTACCCGTTGCATGCAAACTATAGTAGACTAGTTCACCATGGAGTTCGCTAGTTCTCTGCCTCCAGCTTGCCATGCTAATTTTTAATCATGTACTGGACTAGGAGCCAGCCTCACTTTTGGATGTTTGGTTCAGTCAAATCATAGTTGGAGGATCATAATGGAAAGTCACCAAACCGAAGGTACTAATAAACCGGACGCACAATCAGATAAGAAAGAACAACGAGCTTGCGCCGTGCGTGGATTCACTTTTTCCGGCTGCTCGGTTCTTAGAAAAGAGGTCGGAGGTTCTTTTTAAAAACTGAGCAAATACCATGGTTTTGGAGATACCGTGGTGTAAATACCACACTTTTTTTTGGGTAGCCAAACAGCTCACAGTAAATAAAACTATAAAAATTGAAAAAAATGTGGTATTCTCATAATACCTAGAAAAATACTGAGCTATCAAACGGCTTTAAATGAAGATTGTAAATATATGATCAGAACTCTATCGGAGGTCAGCATCTATCGTAGCAAAGGCCGGTAGACCAGGTGTGAGGAGAGCAAAGCACCGATGTTATGGATCATTCGGTCGTTCCTATTAGTCGACTGGCTTTCTACTTTCGAACTGAACTCACTTGTAGGCAACCTTATATGCACCTCTTGTATGCCAAACCAGATAACCTCATTGTTAATTTCTGCATGTGCAAACACTTTGGATATGGTGAAGAACGCTGTTGACCCATCCTGCGCCAATATTTTTTTTAAGGTTCTCCATGTGAAAATTCTATGTCCCAATCTTTGATCTACTTTGTTTATGCTTGTCAGTTTCAAATGAAAAACCTATATGCATAATGTCTGAAGTTGTACTTTTAAGATTACCTGTTGCCACATATTCTGGAGCTGCATAACCATATGTTCCCATAATCCTCGTAGATAAATGACTCTCCTCACCAACAGGACCATTAACTGCCAATCCAAGACCGGTGAGCTTCACGTTATAGTCCTACAGAGTAGTATGGTGTGTTCCTTTGAGTAGACATCACATGCCCATATAGGTGAAGTAAGATGTATTGGTGATTCACTTACTGTGTCAAGGAGAATATTGGAATTCTTAACATCTCTAACAATAATATTTGTACTGTGAAGGTAAGCTAGTGCTTTTGCAGCTCCAAGTGCAACTTTCATTCTCATGTTCCATGAAAGAGGTTGACATGAGCCTCCTACATCAATGATTTATGCATCAATTCATAAATATAACATACTATGGCGTTAATCTATGCAGTATGAATAACAGTGGACACCAGTGGAAGCACAATGCCCTACTTTAACTTACTCCTGAAAAGATGATTTTCCAAGCTCCCATGTGGTAAAAACTCGTAAACGAGTAGCCGGTACTCATCCTCTAAGCAGTAGCCAAATAGCTTCACAAGGTTGGGATGGGAAAGGTGACCTAGGTGATTAATTTCTGCCTATAAATGGAAAGTTAACAGAGATAAAAAATCATACAATATTTGATCAGCACTTCTGAAGCTGTAACTGATAAATTTGAAGTCATCATTTCAAGATAAGATTTTCAAACTGCACTTAAGCCAAACATGAATCTAGACAGCTTCGAGGTCAACAACACAAAGTAGAAAAACAGTCATACTCACCAACCATTCTTGGTGCTCTTGCAAACTCTCCGGGTTGAATCTTTTCACTGCGACAGGTATACCAGTGCCAGGTTTGCAAGGTGAAAATGTGTTCTCATCAATCCATCCTTTACATACACATCCAAATCCTCCTTCACCGGTCATTGTGTTAGCACGGAACCTCCTTGTGGCTAACCTGAGATTATCATAACTGAAGATTTTAACACTGGCTGATGGCAAGATCTGGCATTTAATATTCGTGCTTAGAAGCACCGAATCCGAAGAGGCTCGAGTGGCTCGACTGCTGCAGGAACTAATCATACTCCCATCTTTTGCAAACATTCCTGCATATCATGTCTTCAGTACTCTTTATGGAACAAAACATACACAGAAATACCAAATTAGATTAATATTTAAAAGAAAATGTTCTCTGGTGGATAAGCTTTTGCATTGATCTACCTCAGGTCCATAGTTATCATGTTCTGCAAGATTCAAGTGTTTGATTCTATTTTTTAGGGAAACTTTGCACAGAAATTAGGAATAGGCTGAAGCAAGCCATGCTCACTTCATTCACTTGGCCATCATCTAAAAATGGTATGAGTGGAGGGAAGCATAGTAACAGTTGGAAAGGTCCAGGAGGATTCCAGTATGCTACTTAGTTGGAGTCTGGTCTTAAGTACTACTCCCTCTGTCCCATAATATAAGAGCGTTTTTGACACTACACTACTGTAAAAAACGCTCTATGGGACGGAGGGACTAAATGCTTACCTGAGTTTACACATGGGTTGAAGGCCTGATTGCTTCGTAGATTGGTGACCTACAACAACGAACTTTAGGGCATCAGCTCTTGTTTACATGAGTCTCTCTTAGACTGAAAATATAGTAGTATTTTACCACAAAAAAATATAGCAGCATTGAAATATTATTAGTCCTATTCTGTAGACACGCATAAACCACATTACAGTGATTGGTTGAGACATCAAAGAGCTGGTAATCTACTTTCAGTTTGTCAGGTGGGAAGACACAAGCAAATAATTTTGAACTTATTTACATGTCACAAAGTTAATGTATTTCTATGGATAACGTACAGTTAAACTAGTTATTTTATGCATCAGAACATCCCCATATATTTTTAGAAAACATCACGATAGAAAATAGGTGAATGTGCAAAAAGAGGGTTCCTCCATAGATTAAGATCTTTTTCGGTTCTCACGCGTAACTTTAAATAAAGGTAACTTAGATTGGCAGGGTTAGTAAGAAGTGTGCTTTTTGCAAACATGAGGAATCTGTCCAGGACTTGTTCTTTGACTATTAGCTCACGCATTTTGCGTGGTGTATGGTCCGATCTGGCATTCCTACACCACAGAGCACTACTGATATGTTTGGCAATTAGCTCTTACAGGACCTAAAAGATTTAGGGAAAACTTATTAGCTGGCGCGGGCGAGCGGCAACATATTGGGCAGTCAAGCTGTGCAGCCCTGGATGCGGACCTGGGTGCTACTACTGCAGCAAGAGGGCAGGGGAATGGCGCTCTCAGCGTGTACAAGGTTGGCCATAGAGGTATGACTGCTTTTCATGAGCTATGGTTGGCAGTCTAGTTTTTGCGCGTCATCGGATGATGAGGACCACGGTGGTGATGGCTTCGTAGTATCACCACATTTTATCTTTTGCCGAACCTTTTAATCCAATATCTTGATTACTGGACTGTGTAACCGTTACAGAAACATTGTTTCAGTGTTGGAAACTTTTATGGCTGTGCACATCCTGGATGCAGAGGCTTAGCGGTGAATCGTCTACATACTAGAGCAATAAAAAGTTCCATTATCTAAAGACATAGTTAGTTATTCATCTTAGTAAATGTGGTGAACAATTCTAGTAAACTAGGAATCTAATTCAATCAGGCTATAAATAATAATGCCCATCTATCTACTAAATATTAAATCCAATAAGCACATACAAAAGGACGTATTTTTAGCTCTAGCAACTTATACTGTTATAGAAATATCTTGTTTCTATTTCTTAGAGATTGCATAATTACATGAAAATAGCATACAGAAGGTTAAGTAAATAAATAGTATAGGTAATGAAGTAAAAGGGCAGGAGTGTATGAGTAGTAAATTAGTGGTTATTTAGAGAATATGGCAAGGAGTTTAATTTAGCTCTTCCACATATGTTCATGTATCAAGAAGAAAGGCACAATCTGTGGACAGATGAAAAAAAAAAGCCATGCCAAAGATGAAGGTATCACCAGTACAGTGTGAGAATATACCTGCTCTATTGTTGAACTTCTGGCTGTATCAATCTTATTTAGTTCATCGATAATGGTAGTATCAATCTTACTCAATTCATCCACAACCTCGGCTATAGTAGGCCTTTTCGCTCGGTCAGCCTCCACACATTTTAATGCTATTTCAATGCATTTCTTAACTCCATGTGATGTATCTGACAACACAGTTGTCCGCAACGCCTTTTCCCAGTTTCCATGTACCTGCACAATTGAGACATAATATGCTGGAAGGTGACACACATGCACACTGGTAAGTCGATAGAGCATAATATTTTGGGAAAACAATATTGTTTGACATAGATGATATTTTCTTACAAGTTGAATAAATTCTTGGGAAGACATATCCGCAAAGTTGGAGTAGCCCTGGTGTCCTGCCATTATTTTTATGATTGTAACGCCCAAACTGAATACGTCAAACTTTGGTGTGATGTGGAACCTATTGATGTATTCTGGTGGCATGTATCCACTGCACGTATCAAATACGCTTACTTTAATACCAAGTTATAACCAAAGAATCCGATTACTTTTCATCAGTTATGAGCTTACGGTGTTCCTATAATTCCTTTGGTGGAACAGGTTTCTGTTGAATCGAAGAGTCTGGACAGACCAAAATCTCCTATCTTTGGCATCATATTCCTATCCAGCAATATATTGGCTGGTTTCAAGTCCAGATGGAAAATTGATTCTTTTGATCCATTATGAAGGTAATTTAATCCCTCACAAATTCCTTTAATGATTTTGTAACGCGTGTGCCAACCAAATCCGCAGGATTCGTCTACAGAGATAAACAAAAATATGCCACCAAGCCTTCATTGGGGGATTGTTTTTGCGTTCATGCAAAAAAGGAATACTGTCTAAGTAGAGCAATATCATACCCGAGAGATGTTTGTCAAGGCTTCCACCCTCCAAGTATTCAAAGCAGAGAGCTCTATCTTCCACCATAGCAAAAACATATTTCCCATTGTGCTCTACGCATTTATGACGTATTTCATGGCAGTAGCCAACCAATCTTACTATATTTTGATGACGAACCCTCATAAGGTTAGTACACTCATTCTGAAATTGCTTGTCGCTGTCAAGTCCTGGATGCTTGTAATAAAGCTTCTTCACAGCAATCACTTCACCATTGTCGAGCGTTCCCTATTAAATTATCATGTTAATATGGTACATGGGTTCTCATAGTCTGTGATAGTATCATTTGAAAAGAGAAATGGTATAAAGCGATCATACCTTGTAGACTACTCCATACCCGCCAACACCAATTCTGTTGTCCTCGGAAAAATCATTTGTAATTTGCTTTAACAATTGGAATGTAAAATCCCTTGGTGTCGTACTTGAGTGCTGTGACTCGTTCTCCATCGTATACTCTATTTCCTAGTAGGACGACAACTTCGACATATCATCGACCTAATAATACCACAAAAATTCTTTCAGAGAAGATATGGGCATGTATATGCTTATTTTAGGAACGTATATGCACAATTTTAAACAAAGAATAGACATTTTGATGCAGCCACACATTCAAGCATATGTTTTACTGAAGGCTTACAGAGCCTAAACTTTGGGCCCAATCAGAATTGACTACAATGTCTCCCAACTAAGCAGAGAATACCCCAAAAGGAAAAACTAATAGGAGTGCATGGATGTCGCCAGCGAGGTGTGTGAAATCTTATGAGACATCAAAAAAACAGAGAAAGGGGGAGGAAGAACCGAAGAGCAGATATGGGCCCTTACCTCTGTACCTGCGGTGGCATGGCACATACGGCGCAGGGAGTCGCCGTCAACCGCCGGCAGTAGCTACTGAGAGAAACTGCTAGGTAGGTCGCTGCTGGTGGGTGCGCCCCCCTCCCCCTCCCCTCGCACCGCCGGCGAGCAGGACGGCCGCAGGCCCGCAGGCTGGAAGTTGGGGAGGACCGCCGGAGGGCTGCGAGGTTGGAAAGTGGGAGTGGGAGTGGGCAGAACTTGACCCATTAATGAAAGTGGTAAACTATGGAGGCGGCGAAGCTTCTGCGCGTCCCCGCGGAAGCGACTACAGCGAGCGGCGGTCAATCCCGCGTTCGTAGCTCCTGTCGTTGTTCCTTGGAGTTGGACTGATGGACTCTCGCGCGAACTACCCGGCGGCCGTTGGATCATTTACCCGATCTCAAAGCAGGCCTGCGTGACACGTCAAGTCGTCAACTAATCCAGAAACAAGCATCTCGGGAGTAACCGGTGCGTTCTAGGTTAGCCACTATCGGTCGTCGGATTGTTTTTTTCTTAAAATCTAAAAAGTGGGTGTGCGCTATTTAGCGCTCGCGAGCGGTCACACGCTGGCCCCATGATTCTCGCCCGAACCACCGTATGCATTGCCTGTAGAGATTTTTCACTATTCACCCACGTCTTCATCCCACCTCAGCTTGCTGCCACGCCATGGAGGTGGTCGCTGCCCTCAACGTCCGCGCCCTCTACTCCCCTCCCACCTCCCTCCTCTCCTCTCCCTCCCCTTGCCTCCACCTTGCCGCCCACGCGCTCACCTCCCCCGCGCCTTCGCCCCCACCATCCCCAAGTAGCACTTCCTGACCCCCAATTCAGACCTCATCGGTGGCCGCGGCTCCAGGGATGGCGTCGCGATGGTATGAGGAGCTACGCTTGGATCTGCTCCCTAGCCGAATCTGCTCCATGGCTCATCCAGCTGAGTAATTTGATTGTCGCATTCTTGCTTGAGAGGTTATCTCGTTCCCGAGGGGAACGACGTTTGAGCGGCCGCCGCCGGATTTAGTATCATTCCTTTAGAAGAACAGAATCATGTACCTGGTCATCACTAGGCTCCTCATTGGAGCGATCAATTTTGCACCTGGATCTGATCTGCTCTCATCTTTATTTCCCTGATCTACGATCTTACATGTTGTAGTGCCTTTTTTTGTGTAAACTGTCAAATACTACTAGTCTAGTTGCACATATAGTAGTCTCGGTTGAATATAATCATCGGAAAGTTGCACAATATAGTGATATTAAAATGGCTAGATGATGTTGTAAGTTAATTTATTTTTGCTAGTCACATTTTTGGTTGGCATCCACAGTAGTTGTAGTTGCACACATGATATCTCACGCTCGTATTACTTACTCAAGTATAGCTAGACGCGCGACCAACTACTACTATAAACTGGAAGAATGTTGCACACGCACGACCATGAAGTTGCACACTCTCGTTGGTATAGTCGCACGCATGCGACCGCTTGAAATAAGTGTTTTCTTTAGTCAGCTAACACTGTAACGCTTGTATGTTCTGTAAATTATCAATCTTGAATTTTCTGAAGAGCATAGAAAGAGTTGCACAACCATATTTTCAGAGTTGTGCATTGACTACCATGCAGTTGGTCGGGGTTGTTGTCAAAGTTGCACATCCTACAGGTAGGGATTTGCTTAAGTTGATCTATTTTTGCTAGTCACATTTTTTGTGGCATCTGCAGTGTTGTAGTTGCGCATATAGTAGTTCTCAGTTGGATATAACCATGAAAACTTGTACAACACTGTGGTAAACTGGAAACATGTCGTCCTACAAGTAGGCCTCATCGCCCAGCTTTTTTGTAACTAGGCAGGTCCCCTTATCCAAGTTGTTTTGAATGTTCGGTGAAGGAGAGGTGCCTGGCAGTGAAATAGAGGTTCATATTTTCTTTTTCTTTTATCCTATGACCATTTATTATGCTCTTCTCTTTTACCATCTCAGCAGTTCTATCTTTTTTGTTCATTGTAGGGTTCTCCAAATAGGACCTCTTGGCGAACTCAAAACGTGCTGCTAAGCGGCAACCATGTGGCGCTGATAATGACGTGGATGGAGAGGATGATGACGTGTCCCAGAGAGTATCTAAATGAGCTGGCATCCTCAGGCTTTTCTAGTTGTACAAGAGTACCTAATTAGTTGGCATCCTCAACATTTCTAGTTCCATAATACCATCCAACTAGTTGACATCCTCGGTCTTTTTGTAGTTGCATCACACCCTCAACATTTTCTTCTAGAAGCCTGAAACCTGGATGTGCATTTTTTTGGTTAGTCATGCAAGTACTGAATATTTCTTTTACCAAGAATATCTAATTAATTGGTATCCTCAATGATAGAGGCGGGGGTAGTCATGTCCTCATCACTCAAGATTTATAGTTGCACAAGAGTATTCAATTAGTTGGCATCGACAACATTTCTACTTGCACAAACAGTATCCAACTAATTGACATCCTCAACCTTTCTAGTTGCACAAGAATAACTATTTTTTTAGTCTCATCTTCAACTTTTTAAGGGTTGCCCAAGGGTATCTAATGACTTGGCATCCTCAGCCTTTCTCGTTTCACATGAGTATTTAATTAGTTGGCATCCTAAGCATTTTCTAGTTACACAATAACATCTAACTAGTTGACATCCTCAGCCTTTCTAGTTGCACAAGAGTAACTATTTTAGTTGACATCTGCATTTTGTAGTTGCACAACTAACATAATATCAAGTTGGAATCGTCAACCTTTTTTATCCAGTTTTTTTGAAGAAGAACAAATATTTTGTGTGCAGTGTTAACTAATCACCTTTGGCTCCTTTGGTTTTGCAAAACCGTAGGTCATCACGTCGGAATGTGATCACCTTTGGCACCTTTTATTGATGACAAGAAAAAGAATGTCATCTTCTTTTCTGTTTCACCTTTAGTAACATCCTATAGAACATATTCCCCCTATTGCAATTTGTGTGAGACAAGCCTATTTGTACGCTCGTTTTTAATACCGTTCTTGTGCTTTTTCTAGTTTGGTTTCTTTGATGCACACATTTACAGCAAAAGTTGGGCTTTGTTTACAAGTTTAGTTGCACAATTATATGTTTATATTTGCAGACAACAAACCCAGTTTTTTTTAGTTTCATCTAGTCTGTGTGTTGGTTGAAGGGGAGCCTTGGCGCAGTGGTAAAGCTGTTGCCTTATGACCATGAGGTCACGGGTTCAAGTCCTGGAAACAACCTCTTACAGAAATGTAGGGAAAGGCTGCGTACTATAGACCCAAAGTGGTCGGACCCTTCCCCGACCCTGCGCAAGCGGGAGCTACATGCACCGGGCTGCCCTTTTTTTTTAGTCTGTGTGTTGGTTGCACACATTTTTTGCAAGAAAAGATGGACTGAATGTAGTGTTTGTGCAAATAGAAGCCCATATTTGTGCCAACTAAACATGGATCCAAAACCATCTTTTCCTGCAATGTGTGCAACCAACAGCCAAAAGATTAGAACAGATGGTCTCTAGTCTGAGTTGTTTTGTTGCACATTTGCATAAAAAGGTTGGCTTGGACCCATGCTTAGTTGCATAAATATGTTCAGAAACAGTACACCCAGTCCATATTTCTAGTTTGGGATGTTTCCTTTGCACACATGTTGCAAGAAAGTTGGTTATGGACCAATGGCTTAGTTGCACAAATATGTGCTTCTTTTTGCACAAACAGTACACCCGATCCATCTTTCTAGTCTGGGTTGTTTGTTGCACATATTTTGTAGGAAAGTTGTCCTTGGATTAATGCTTAGTGTGCACATATATTTACTCCTTTATAGTTTTGGTTGTTGGTTGCACACATTGCAGGAAAAGTTGGCTTGGATCCATGATTTAGTTGCACAAATATGGGCTTCTATTTGCACAGACACTACATCCACTCCATGTTTCTAGTCTGGGTTGTTTGTTGCACTTTTTTTGCAAAACTACTCCCTTGTGTCTATTTGCACACATCCAGGCAGAAGTTGGTTTTGCTACTGGTCTACTTGCATATAGTGGTGTTTAATTACACAGATATCAGATTATTGTTGCTACTCCCTCCAATTATGGAGAAGATCGGTGGTAGATCCAAAGGCAAAGGGGAAGGGAAAGTGAAGAAGGGAGGATCTGGAGCCAGAAGGGAACTTACCGTGATTGATGATGCCTGGTATGCCTCTCTCCTCCCTCTTGTTACCACTTTAGTTCTTGCCAAAAAAATCACCTTGTTTGGTTTGCCATAGCAGCTCTGTAGGTTTTTGGATCTAGGATGGGATCCTCTTTCTTTTATGGAGAAGAAGAAGGAGATGCCATGGAGAGGAAGTGTGGGCGAGGGAGACGTGGGATCCTCTTTTGTTTGAAATATCCCTCTTTGATGAAATTGATGCTTGCTATGCTTGTGGCCATGATGCCAATATGAATTATGCTTATGGAGATAAACTTGCTATAGTTCCTTATGTTTAGAATGAAATTGTTGCTATTGCACCCATACATGATAGTCCTATTATCTGTTTGAATTCTCCAAACTACACTATCTCGGAGAAGTTTGCGCTTAATAAGGATTATATTTTTGGGTTGCGTTTTACCACTACACATGTTGATTTTGATAAATATAATATGCATGTGCTTGCTACTCCTACTTGCAATTATTATGAGGGAGGGACTACATCTCCACCTCTATATGTTTCCAACACAATAAAATTGCAAGAAACTCCTTATGCTATGTACCGGCCTTTACTTTGTGTGCATGAATTTTTCTTTTACAATATGCCGATGCAAAGGAAGAGAGTTAGACTTCAGTGTTGCATGATATATGTTGCTTTTTGCTCAATACCAAAATACAAATCATTGTTAATTCAAATTGGCTTTGATATACACCTCGGGATCCGGGTGGATCAATTACTTGAGCACTTTATGCCAGGCTTAATGGCTTTAAAGAAAGCGCTGCCAGGGAGACAACCCGGAAGTTTTAGAGAGTCAACTACTTTTGATGTGTGCTTTTATAAAGTTTAAAAACAG